ATTTAGTCCGGAGATGAATCTCCATAACAAATACGGATATACACATCCTTAATCACCCTTTAGGTAGTAAATTTTGATATTTTTTAGAAATACACTAATGTAATATACCATGTATTATAACTACACTATCATAATAAAAATTTTATCAATTAAATCATACATTTATGTAATAAGATGAAAATGCCATATACTCCCTCCGTCCCAAAATAAGTGTCATAGTTGGCCATTTCACACAGATTAAGAATAATATTTTTACCAAACTATCCTTGTTTACTATTGGTGTATTCGTATTATCATAAATGCATAGTGAGAGAATAATAAATTGAGATTATTAATTAGAGGGCAAAATTGAAAGATAAAAATTAAAATTGCATTGAAAACTAAAAGCGACACTTATTTTGGGACAAATAATTTTATAAGATGTGACATTTATTTTGGGACAGGGGGAGTATTAGAATCAATACAGAATCTATAATATTGTCAAAATAACAAATTACAAACAATAATATTATCCCTAATCACTAATACAAATAATATCCTATTGGGTATATCAGACCCTATGTTCCTTCGACGCCTCATGTATTACAATGTCGTACATGCCTCAAATAGAATGAAATCTACAACGACCCTCTTAGAAATGCCATTCAGAAAGTTTCCTCACTATCTCTCTCTATACTCACTCGTGCAAGATCCATAATGCGATAACATGTAGGCAACACATCAACGACATGATTTGCCTTAGCCTGCTCATTCTCTAATATCTCTTGATGAGCTAGTTTAGGTACATCTCCATGGGAATTTGGTGTCACGTAAGGATGTGACACTCTAAAATATCACTGGATATAGCTGAATGCACTCTTCCAATCCTTAGGATCTATGAAGCATCATGCTTCATTCGGTATCATATGATTAAGGAAATTATCATAAATGGAATCTACATCTCAATGGACCATAATAGGAGGAACATATATGAAAGGTTTTCTTGGAACAACGCTGAACTGGTGCATGACTTGCTCAAAAGGATATGGTTACATCAAATGTAACCCACGAGCCAACCATCTAGAGTAGAAGGTTATATCATCAAAGGGACGTGTCTGACAATGAACTTTGTATGACCAAGGGCGTATATCATATGTTGTTGTGCAATCAAGAAACACTCTGAAGGTCTCGATCGACTAATTCTCTCTCAGTAGGATAAATGCACAAACACATAGTCGATCCTTGGTGTAGCCATAAACAAGTGACCAATTAGAGATGAAGGTTAGAAAAATACACAAGAATGAGGGGTTAAATTATGCTCTCTAATTCGCGTTGCTTCTGAATAGAGTTCAGATTCTAAACAATAGTTCAAATTCTGATAACAAGTTGCAGCGGAATAATAATAGAAGCAAGTAAATGACAAATGAATACACAAAATTTATCCTGGTTCCCCTTAAACTGAGAGTAATTCAACCCCCTTGCAACACAAGAGATTTTCCACTATAATCAAATCATGATTACAATTGCTTACGGCCTCGAGCATAAGACTTTTTTTTGTTCAGACTTCCTGTTTAGATCCTCAGATCCTAAGAGTTTCCTGCTTATACCCTTAAGTACAAGACTTCCTTCTCAGACTCACATCCTAAGACTTGCCTGCTTAGATTCCACAAATCCAAGACTTCCTGCTTAAATCCCACAGATTCAAGAATTCCTGCTCATACCCTCAAGTATAAGACTTTCCTGCTCAGACTCACAACCTAAGACTTGCCTGCTTAGATTCCACGAATCCAAGACTTCCTACTTAAATCCCATGGATTCAAGACTTCATGCTCATACCCTCAAGTATAAGACTTTTCTGCTCATATTCCACGAATCTAAGACTTCCTTGCTGAGACCTACAGTCCAAGACTTTCCTGCTTAATCAATAATTTGATCAAGGCTTCAATACTCAAGCACATAGCAAGAGACTTACTTCTCTCAAGCTTACAACAAGACACTTTGATCCTCAAGCACATAGCAAGAGAATTTCTTTCTTAACTACTAAACAACCTATTTAGAAGAATAGACAACAAGGTGTACTTGATATTCAATCAGAGGTACATGAAAATAACTATAACAAAGATCATAACACTTAGTATTTCTAAGATATTCATTATTTAAGAAATCTTAAGACTTTGTACAATTTACAACAGATAACAAAAACTTTGCATACTCGATGTCGTTGTTGATCTTGTTATTCTTCCATGTTGATAGAAACGTGAGACACTTCTTTTCTTCTTGGCCCTCTTTCTTTATTCCTTGTTGTTGATCCAGGTTGAATCTTAAGCTACTTAAATAGCAGATACAAAAGAATAGTCGTTGGAAAAGATAACTTGTACAAGTGTCTTTGTTACTCTGTAGTATTAAGAGACGTTGAAGATAGATACACAATAAGATATTTATCCATTGTGTAACTTGTTTGTAGCGTCTTTCTTGTTAGTTATACTATAGATCCATTGAGAGTGGATATCCGTAAAGCATGTCAACTCTTCATGAGCCATGTGAACACAAACTTTAACTGACAAACTGATTTGACACTGTAGATTTCTTTATGCAGCACAGATCACTTAGTTTTGTCCATGGTTCTAAATGATCACCAGAAGCTTATACACTCAATAAGTGTAAAGATAACATATTGCTCTTGTGATGATGATACATTCATCTTCAAAGTCTACGCATTCCTATTTCATTATACTTCACTTAAGAACGTCCTTCAGTTCTGAACCATCAGAAGCCAAGAACTTATTTTCTCTCAAATGCGTTCTCTTAACAGATTCTGAATAGATTCTATTTAAGCTTTGAAGCTGCATACTTAGAACACACATTAGATAACACCGTTGTTCTTTCAATATTTTGTTATCATCAAAACCTAAAGGATATATGTCATGAACAAATCTTGTTCTAACAAGAGATGCATGGAAAGTGCTTGAGGATCCATGCCTAAAAATGGTACAAATGAATTATTATTAATAGCGTAGCATAAATTTTATGAAAATGGTACAACAACAGTAAATGATGCAAATATATTACCGTAAATAACATGCAACTAGCTGTTAACTATTTGGTCTTCCAAAGACAACTTTCAGCTAACTAGGAGCACAAGTAAACCAAACAAGCGACCCCTCAGTTGTACTCATGAATCTACTCCAAGTCAATGAAGTAGTTGAGGTAAACCACATTGACGTAATAGGAACTATTGTCCATAAATATGGACATGGTAACCAAGTATATAAGGTATGACCTCAATCACATACTCTATGATACATAACCTATATATTCATCATCACCATTAGCTTGCACTGCCACAACTATGTGGTCTGCATACAACTTCTCCAAGAAACCAAATCTAGCATGACATTATTGGGTGTCTTATATCTCCTTTAGCTAGGGCATCCTTTGGGTCAGATCCAAAATAGTTCACCATCATCTCCAGCGCATCAGGTTTTGTCATCCTGAAGTGGTCAAAAAGTTCAACTATTATAACAAAATGTGTTTCAACTAATAAATACGGATAAATTTTACCTTTTCATCCCACGTGTTCCTAACAGCGTGGTCTGCATACAAAGGCACCAGTGATGGGTGCATCGACAGCAGGTGCATCAACATCGATTGGTGGGATTTCTAGGGCAGTAACAGGTGACACTTGCCTTCGGAAAGACGAAGTCGAAGTCACCTGAATTCCAGAAGTTGACGCATTTGCATTAAATGAACTAGCATAGACAGATGGTCGGGAGGGTCGTACTCTTTTAATATGAACAAATGCATGTTGGGACACTCTACCGTGCCTTAGTCGCTCTTGGTTGTCAGACATACTACCTATGATTAAACTAGACAAATTAGACAAAGTAGAAAAGAATCAAACCAAACAATGCAGACAAACAAAATACGAAAGTGCACTTCCGTATTCTTGGAAAATCAAATTTTGAACAAATACAAAAGTGCACTTTCGCAATTACCTGCAACCCAAAAAACACGACAATGACAGAAATGCATGGAAACCAAAAAAGGACAAAAGGCATTGCTAGTTATACTACCTAACAATGACTATAACTACCTATACATTGATGTATATTACACAACTTAATGTTATTATTTCTTAATGCATGTATAGAAAATAAAATGTAAACAAAACTTGGATTGAAAAACTTACTAAATATGTAGATGATGTTGAGCGCTTCAATTGATTGAATGTTGAGAGTAGGAATTAACAAACTACTTCGATTGGATGAAGTAGAAATGAAACTTAGATTAATAAAAGAAACTGAAAGTGAGAAGAGTTTTAATATCTTTTGTTGAAAATTAAAAATGAAAATGGTCTAATGTATATTTGATCAAAATTCAATTCGAAAAATGTATTTTCATAAATTATACGAAAATACATTTTCGTATTAATTTTTGGTCAAATATGAATATGACTCGTTTACAAATAAATTGAGTATAGATTAAAATACGTCCGATAATATATTTTTGAATTTCAAAAACCATTTTAATTTTTAACAAATATTGCTCTACTTCTAGACCACATACATATTAAAATAAGAGTAACTAAAAAGCACCAACCAGCAGCGTATCCAAAAATCCAAATAATATATGTTTCATGAAGTTGAGATTAGTTTCTGCTAAGTAGAAGACAAACCTGAACCACATAGTATACTCTATAAAACAAAATGAAAATAGTTAGAATCCTCAAGGTCAAAGTAGAGATTTCCATAAGATGCAGCATAATAGAAGAAGAAACAAAACTTCAACAATCAACTACCTTTTTAAATAAAGAAAAGTACATAAGAATAGAAGCACAAAAAACTCATGTTTATTAAGAAACAATAGGTAAATGATGTTTCAATCGCAAAGAAGAAGGGTCCACCACAACCATAACACAACCAATTAGAGCCTCTTACTCTTCAATGAGTTGCAAGTACATTTTCACCTTTCAAATACCTCTCCTTAAGTGTTGAATTATCTTCTTGAGTTCATTCTCAGCCATGGCTAATACTGATAGTATCAGTAATCTTGACATAAACAGTATCAGTGATGATGGTTCTGTCAAGAATTTTTCTGCTATCTGGTAACTCTTCTATAAACTCATATCATATGTTATGTGTATTTTTGGTTCGAATCCTTTGGTTTCGAGGAAAAGGGTTGTAGTGATCTAGTATTAGAATGATAGGTGAGAAATGAATATTTTGGTTAGAATTTATGATTTTTCTGTTTGTTTATGTTATAGGCTATGAAAACGTTTTAGTTTGAACTTGGAAGCATATTTTGAATTCATCAAGTTAATCAGATCTAAGAGAGTTGTTGCTAGCATATAGGAGTCATGTACATCTTCATTAAGTTAATCAGATCTGAGAGATTTGTGTCTCAAGTTTTTGGAGGCTCTGTGTAGATTAATTGCAGCTTAATCACGACAAAACAAATAGAGATTTTATTTATACGCTATTTAAGAGTGACGGTTCTATTTAGCCAAAGTTTAACTGTGATAAATTTTGAGCTGCTTTTAAAGAAAACGAGGTTGATCATGCACACAACCGGAATCCTACACCAAAACTATGTTATCAAAAAATGTAAAACTTATGTGTTTTTCCCGTTGTTGCTCTTCAGGCCAATGTCAACATCTGGACTGAATGCAAAAGGCCAATTTGCCATTCTATATAATGGAAGCATGTGTGTATATGATGGAATTCCTGCAGAAAAGGTAAAACACCTATTGGAAGATTTTCACTTCAGCACTTTCATTAGTTCACATTGTGTCATGGTTTTATCCTTATGAACAACAGGTGCAAGAAATAATGATGATGGCTGCTGCCACTGCCAAGTCTTCTGAAATGAAAAGTGGAATTCCATTCACTTCACTCTTTTCCAGTGCCACACCTTCTTCTCCCCAAGGAACTTCTAACAATGTGCCTTCTCCTCCATCAGTCTGTTTTCCTGCTGCTGACAAGAGTTCCATTTGCAGGATGCAAGGTACTAACTAACTCTTTCATTATATTATTAGTTAGAATAATAACACTGACACTTCTGGAAAAAAAAACGTGTCTGTGTTAGTGTCATTGTCTGAAACCAACACCGATACTTGTGAATTTGGTTACTTTATTCATTTTTTAAAATTATTACTGTGTCGACTATCGTATTTCTAGTGTCTGTGCTTCGTAGATATAATATCATTACATTGAACTGTTTTGTGTTCAGAATTTCCATTAGCACGGAGACAATCACTTCAAAGTTTTCTTGAGAAGAGAAAGATCAGGTATGTCATGTCATATTTGGATTCAGTTTAGAATTTCCAATGTTGTAATTTTTTTGACTGATTCCATTTGTGTTTAAATCTTGAATAAAGAGTACGTAGCAAAGCACCTTATAGCTCTTCATCATCAAAAGGAGTTAGCAACATTGACAACAACTTCAACACAGCATTGGTTCCTTCCACTTGAGAACAAACAGTGCTGGTGTCATCAAGTGGTATTAATATGTTATGTTATGTTTTCTACACCATATTATAAGCCTAATTAATTTATTATTATTGTTGTTGTTGAATCTTAATGTGTAACTGTTAATGTCTAGCAAATATCCATTACTATGTTTAGAAATCAGAACACATACTATGCTTAAACTGTTGTTAATGTGTCTGAACAATTGATTATCAATTATGTGCTATTTCCTTTGTACTCTATTAAAAGTTGTATATTGGTAGTCCACTAAAGTTTGTCCTAATAGTTTAATCCAACTATATATGATTTGATTAACTTCAGTTAGTTTAAAAGTTTGGCAAACAATAGGTAAACTAGTTAAACAAGATGTTAGTGATTTATAGTAGCATTAGAGAAAATTAATTAAATATGTGAACTTAAAATTCAATAAATAAAGATGTCAGAAATGAGGTTAACTTAAATTTTAATCCTAATCTCTTAACTATTAAATTTTTAAACCTTGAATACATTTTTAATCTATAAGTCAATTATAATTTAAGATTAAGTTAAGTCTTAATACAAATTTACAAGTTTTAAGGTGTTACTCGATCTCTTAGTAGCAAAGGGAAAAAAAATATCATTCACAAACATTTTAAAGTCCACTTTCATGTCAAAGGGCAAATCATATATCAATTTAAAGGTAGATAATAGATAAAAAGCATTAAGAACTTAACTAAAATAACTCCGCATGGGTCTTAGCCTCTTAAAACGTCACACATTCAACTCCGAGCCATCGCACATTCAACTCAGAAATAACGTGAAAGGGTGGGATCATGCAGTAATCACGTGATATCGCCTAATCTAACATAATACACCTCTATCATAAAACGTCTGGTATGGCCCAATGTGTCCTAACCCTAAATCATAGATGAACGTGTCAAGCCTTGTATTGGATATTTGATAGATAACTTAAGTGTCTACTAGTTTAGAAACAAAAGTGTATCCCCTGTTAAGGAAGAGGAGTTCTAAGCATATATGCAGTGAAAATGATTTTCTTGGCAACACTTGGCCAAAGGGTTAAGAAATACCCCAATGACATGGTTGGGAGATGATTCATTCACTTTTTCAAATATCAAAACCAAAAGTCCATCTCGTACATCTCATCTCAGGTAGGGTGTTCTCTATTGTATTTACCATAAGTACAATTGAGACCCACCGTGGAGCTCAGTAAAACTAAATCAGACCACACCTTTATCTGAGACATCATTTGCCTTAATCAATATTTCAAAATTGTGAGACGAGGCACTGCCAACAACAACAACATTGATCAAGAGTCCATAGCAAAGATGCAGGAAGCTATGGAAGAATTACAACGTGTTGTCGAAACCTTGTAAGATAATGTCTTGCATCTCCAAAAACAACGATATAAGGGCAATCCACCTAAGGGCGATAAGATCCTAGATCCCTAGCATCTCTTTGATAAAATAAAGGGCACACTCCTGCCAGAAAATTTCAAATTGACATCTTAAGTAGCCTTTAACAAAAAGAGCGATACTCTGGAGCACATCACTACCGTCAACACTCAGATGGCGATAATATGTGTCACTGATTCTCTGAAGTGTAAGCTCCTCTCTATTACCTTCAAGGAGGCGAGGCTAAGGTGGTATATGAACTTGTATAAAGTTTCGATAACTAGTTATCATGATCTCTCGAGGAAGTCAATCCATCAGTTCTTAGCGAGCAAACATCAGAAGGTATCAACAACCATCATATTCAACGTTAGACAGGAACACAATGAATCTTGAGAAAATATCTTGCTAGGTTCAATGAGGTAAACATCAAGGAAATCCATCCCAATCAAGAAATATGTATGGGAGCATTTCAAAATGGCCTAAATTCGGTCACTTTGATGAATCTCTTGACAATAATCCTAATACCTCCATGGCATAAATTATGGTATGAGTTGAGTGCTACATAAAAGGAAAAGAGAACGACGGGAAGAAAAAGGGATAGAAGCCAAGGAGTGTTCAGTTGTAGGGTCGGATACCTCCTAATTCCAACGCCGAAATAATTACACATTGTCTGTTTGCGACAAAGTGACCTTCAAACGCACTGGAAAGCCGGAAGAAAACTAAACACCATTCAACATTATACCAAAACAAATTTGGCATAAGGTGTTCCATACCCATGACATCCTTCCTTATCCAAGAAGGTCATTTGAGAAAATATGTCCACTTGAGAAAATATGTCCAAGAAATTTCCTAGTAATCAGGAGGTAGGTCTGCTTCCCTCCCCAGGGAATGATCAAACCTAAATCCCCCGGTGTAAGAAATAAAGTACCAAAAGGTGGGGAAGGATAAACCAGTCGGCCACACATAGGGTTGGAAATGAGTCGAGTCGAGTCGAACTCACCTCACCTCAGCTCGACTCGTTAAGAATTGTTCGAGTTCGAGTTCAACTTCGAGTTCGACACAAACTTTTTTTTAAGCTCAAACTCGACTCGTTATAAGTTCACGAACAGTTCGGTTCGACTCGTTAGGTTCATCTCATTAGGTTCAGCTCACATGATTCACAGACTTAAAAACTATTTTTTTAAATATATATATATTTTAGTATATTTGACATTTTAAATATATATATATATATATATATATATATATATATATATATATATATATATATATATATATATATATATATATATATATATATATATATATATATATATATATATATATATATATATATATATATATATATATATATATATATATATATATATATTTAAATAAAATATTAAAATAAAATAAAAGTTATCATATTGAAATTTAACTTTATCTTCGAAATCTACTAACTCAAAACCTACACAACTTTCAAGAGATACATTTGAGAGTCTAATTCAAAAACTACTAAATTGAAGATTAAATTTGTCTAAGATTTGGAGTAAATATTTAAACCTAATCTTAAAGACAGTATAATTCTTCTCATATGTAATCGAGTTGACTCATGAACCTAACGAGTCGAACTATGTATAGTTCAAGTTCAGCTCATTTAGCTAACGAACTTAATTTTTCGCTCATACTCAACTCATTTGGTTCATGAACCTAGTTCAACGATTTAATTGTCGAATCGAATTTCGAACTATTTTCGAATTGGTTCGGTTCATACTCAACATGATCACTAGAGGGTTAGAGGGGGGGGGGGATTCATCTCATCCAAGACGACGCCAACTTCACAACCTAAAATCACATTTTCCTATAAAGAGACTACAAGGGTTCTTCCCCACAAATATGACCCCATGGTCCTATAGATAGATTTATCAGAGTTAAACTTAAAACAAGTTCTAATAGATCTTGGAAGCTCAAACGACATCCTTGTATTAGGATGCTTTTGAAAGACTAAAATTAGATCTAGATGATTTGTAATCTGTAGTGTTATAATTGTAAAGGGCCTTACCTAGAGTGATGCCTTTAGATCGACCCATAAGAGGCAACATTGGAATGTTACCCAAAGGGAGGTATCGTCTCACCCTAGGGCTTCCTTATTGCCCATTAGTGGGAAACATGGATAAGAAGTTTCTAGGGCAGAGAGAATTCGGGGTCAATAATTGATCCATAACTTTTTGACAAATAAGGATTTAACAGTCCACCATTGGTTAAACGGTGACCCTTCCCAAGAAAATCCTAGGTCCTACAGGCCTCTATAATTATCTCTCCTTTCAAGGGAAGAAGGGACATATATTAAACCATACAAGTCATTACACTTCCTAAAGCATAGCGCTTAACTCACATCTATCACCCCCTCAGAAGATTATACCTAAACATATTGTCCATCAAAAGGGCCTCCCACCTCACGTGAACAGGATCCCTAAAAAATCGTACATGGATTCTCGTTGTCATTGATAAGTCCTGACCATCCATAATTGTTATAAACCTATTAAGGCCTTTGAGTCTCTTTGACCATGCAGGGAAAACACGCACACATGTACTTTTTGATCAGTACAGTGACACCCACTGTTGGACTCCGGTAAACCTAACACGGGTCACACTCTTACTCTAATTCCCTACATCTTCTCACTAGAGATGACCGACAAAACCCCAACATATAACCCATGTCCGCTTCTAGAAATCGATCGCCTCATTTATGGGTCTTCAGGATACCACATGTTAAGCTTCATGGATGCATACTCATGGTAAAACTAGATTCGGATGGATCCCCTAGACGTGCCCAAAATAGCCTCCGTGTCAAATCGTGGCAACTACTACTACAAGGTCATGCTTTTCAGCCTTAAGAACGATGACGCCACTAGGGATGTCAATGAGGCGGGACAGGGGCGGGGGATACATCTTCATCTTTGTCCCCGCCACCAAATTCATTCCTTGTTCCCCGTCTCCGATCCCCGTCACAGGGGAGTTTTTATCTCCATCCTCGTTTCTCGATGTTTTAAAATAAAGGTTTGAGTGGACCCTCTAGTGCAAGAAGGATTTCACTAAGGTCAAGCACTTCTTCATATCTCCCCCCGCCCCATCCTGGCTTTACAGGACAGGAGATGTATTCCCCGTCCCTGTCCCCGAAGTGCTGTCGGAGGAAATTTTCTCCCCATCCCCGCCCTCGCAGGGGAAATTCCCTATCTTTAGGGCCTCCTAACAGGACAATCCCCACGGGAATCCCTGCTAACAGATGCAAACTGACATCCCTAAGCATCACCTCATGGATGTTGTCTTCGCCCACTAGATAGGACAAGGGGGTGGCTTTGTGGGACAGGAGATGTATTCCCCGTCCCTGTTGTTGCACCTCGAAAAATCACGGAGACATTTCGGAGAAACGACCCTCGCACGAAAGGCGCGGAAATGCGGTTCAACAGAGTCGCCACCGAACTTTATTTTTCCCGAATAAACGGGAGAGGAAAATATCGAGAAAACCTCTTAAAACGAAAGGATAGGAACAGGGTTGTCGCAACCATGTTCCGGGTTCGGGAGTCAGTTATATGAGGGGAAGGTATTAGCACCCCTCACGTTCGTTGT